ACCTGACTTAACTTTTTTACGTCATTCATCCATCCATCCATCCATCCATCCATCCATTATATTTTACCCGCTTCTTCCTTTTTTTGGGTCACGAGGGTCGCCTGTGCCCATATCCAGCAGTCACTGTGCGAGGGGTGGGGGACACCCTGGACAGGTCTCCAGTCCATCACAGGGACACATAGAGACAAACGAGACAAACATTCACTCTCTCACTCACACCTAGAGACAATTTAGAGTTACCAATCAGTCTAACATGCATGTTTTTGGTCTGTGGGAGGAAACTGGAGTACCCGGAGAACCCATGCACTCGGAAAGGTCCCCGGGCCGGGATTTGAACCGAGGTAACCTGCTCGCTGAGAGACAGCGGCTGTACCAGTTGCGCCACCGTGCTGCCCGCTTGTTTTATAAAAATTTTAAAATTTTAAATTGTTTCAAATCCATTCATAGGACCTGACTTAACTTTTTTACGTCATTCATTGTGTTTCGTTTCTGTTTGGCTGATGTTCTGAAGTCGAACAACAACCGCATCATGTTCACGTACACCACAGACACGAAGCAGACGTGCTCATTTGAGAGTAACTTAAAACTTTGCTCTTATGTCCCAGATTGCTAGTTTTGTTTGTGCTTTTTTTATTGATTAGTGCACAACAATGTTTATTTTTTAACCGTTCTACAGTATCTTCTAAGTGAAGCTGAGAGAGGGCATATTTAGAAACGTACTGTTATTGTCTTATCTTAAGATAATGAGATGGGGGTGAGTAGTGGTGCAGAGGTTAGAGAAGGTGGGCTTGTGATTGGGAAGTTGCCAGTTCGGAACCCCTGACCATTACATCAAAATTTGGGTGGGAAAGGTGACTGACATCTAACTCCACCCTCTGGGCCTTTGAGCAAGGCACTTAGCTCCCCATCGGCTCCTCGACTGCCCTAGATGGCAGCCCTCTGCTCTACATGTGGCTTGTGGTAGCTCAGTGGTCGATGGTTGTGTCAGGAAGGCCATTCAACGTGAAGCAAAATGCCAGATGTTAATGTGGGTTTATCGCTGTGGTGACTCCTGAAGGAGGAACAACAACAACAAAAAAACAAATCTTGATAATGAGTTATTATCTCAACTGAAAGTATTTGCTTTTTTGTAAGAATTGGTTAATATATTTAGTCATGTTGGCCAAGAATGAGTTTCTGTGTAATAACTAATCAGACATTTGTTTATCAGAAATTAGGAGATTTAAATGATCCAAGCTGAATTTGTGACCTTGGAGATCATCATTCATCACTGATCAACGTAATATTGTAGATCAACTCCAAATGTCACGACAATGATACTGGATAATGGAGCTAGGGCCGAACAATTAATTGCATTTGCGATAATATTGTGATATGATAAAACAAGATCTTCTAATCGCAAAGGCTGCGATTTGACTGGTCACGTGATCTGGTTATGTGACTTGCGAGTGAGCGGCGGAGCAAAGCAGAGCAGGAGAAGTCAACACTGCGCTTTAACCGGTTGCACAATGGCATAAGACGCGACAGAAGCTGACACATCTGAAAGTTTGGTGCCAAAGAGGAGCAGCACGTCCGTTGTTTGGAAGTATTTGGTTTATAAAAGAGAAGACTCTGCACAACAACATGCACTGTGCAGATCCTGCCCTGCTGCTGCTGCTACCACTCGAGGTAACACCATGAATCTTTATCAACACTTACGACACGCAGAAATAACTCGAGCAATAACGGAGTTCATGGCGAAAGACATGATGCCCATTAATATAGTGGCCAAGCCTGGATTTACAGCTTTGGTAAACACAATGGATAAGAGGTACAGAATGCCCTCCTGAACACATTTTAGCCAAGTTGCCATCTCAGAGCTACTGTATGTGAATAAATGCAGAAACAGAGTTGCAGCGGAGCTGAAAACAGTGGAGTCTTTCACAACTGAAACAGATTTATGGCTTGTGTTCGTTGAAAAATACACGAGAAGAAGACATTGTAAAATAATCACATATTAAATCACAATTGCAATATTGAGGTAAAAAAAAAAACACAATTAGAATGTTTTCTAAAATCGTTCAGCCCTAAATGAAACGTGCACCACATGAACCAAGCAGCTATAATAATCATCTTAAACAAACAAGGTTTGTTCTCATGGGACAAATCTATCTTGAAGAGAGATCGTCTTCAGAAAAATGAAATCAAAGCTAATAATAATGGTCGGCAGCTGTGGTTCCACATCCAACACAACACATTTTAGTTTATTTACTTGATATTAGTGAATGAAAACAAGCTGAATGTACACATTCTTTTAAGTAAAACTTAAAATAAAAAGCTGCTTCACATATGCTAGACCTCTGGATACAAACTGTGTATTTTACTTGCATTTGCTTTTGTACTACAGTAGTCCCTCATTTATCGCAGGGGTTACATTCTGGACACTGTCCCCCCCACCCCCACCCAAAGGTGGAAGTGGAAATCTGCGAAGTAGAAACAACACCAAAACAGTTCAGTCAACTAATAAATTTAAATCAACTAAAGCAAAAGTTGATTTAGCAACAGTTCCACTCTACTTAAGATTTCAAGTTGAGTGAGTAGTAATGGCTTTTTACTCACCAGCAGAACACAGCTCAGTTCTGGTTCGGCAGACCAACCCAGCCTTGGTCTGGTTCTGATCGGCTCTCTGCATCCACTGTAAGAACAGAACTTTTTCCGATAGGATTAAAACTTTCCCTCCAGCAGAAAGCAGCTTTGCCTTCTGGGTAATGTAGTCCTTTAGACTGACGCTACAGTGCAAGCTTATTGAGAGAAAACTACAAAATATTTTTGTTTATTGTTTGTCATGTACAATCTTACAGTACTGTACTTTGAAAAACCGCAAAAGAACGAGTCCGCAAAAGTCGAACAGTGAAATAGCGAGGGACTACTGTATTACAAAAATTGAAGAAGGCAACGCAAACCAGATTTTGGACTTCCAGCTCTGACTTCCAGCCGTCTTTTCTCTCTGCAGGCCGTGCATTCTCATCATGGATTCCCTCAAACTATCTCTTCATGAGCGAGTTTTCAAACTTATACGAGAGTAAGTATGGTACTTTTAAACGACCTGGTTGTTTTGTGTTTGCTTGTGTGTTGAGATGGCACGTGTGTGTGTTTCAGGTACTTGCAGTCAGAATGGGAGGCCCGTCGTGGATCTTCACGAGACTTTGGTCCTGATCAGATGAAAAGCTCGCACTGCAAAGTTCCACTTCAGGACAACAGCAGCGACTGCGGCCTTTACCTTCTTCAGTATGTTGAGTGTTTTTTAAAGGTAAACGATTTCTCCCTTTTTAAACCATCCTTTGATGTCTTAAAAATGTATACATTAAAAACAACTGCACATGTTGGCTTCACCTAAAACAGCACAGATTTATTACGGCATGTCCATAAAAGAGATAATTGATTGTTTCTTTTATTTTCAGGACCCCATAGTGCACTTTGACCTGCCTCTTCATCTTCAAAAGTGGTTCCCACGGCAACTGGTCCGAAAGAAACGAGATGAAATCCGGGATCTGATCCTAAACCTTTACCGACATCAGAACCTAGATAATGTAGAGAATAAGAAGCCCCCCTGCTGAGTGCACCACGTTCCTGTAGTTCTTCTACAGCCCTGCTCATACTGAGCAACAGATCAGTCTGTTTGAACTGAAACTAGTTCCTTTAAGTCCGATCAGTTTAGTTCCCATCATCAAAACACACCACCCTTTGTGTAGGTCCTGTGACTGAATAAGACTGAGCAGACGAGCAAAACATTAAATTGAATCTACACCCTCAAATGTTCGTATATCCCAAGATGTTTTTTTAAATTGTTGGTTGTTTTTAGGATGATTAGATCTTTTCTGAAGATAACAGAATTTGCATCTAAAGTTGCAAACCACGTATTGTTTTGACTTGGGAAAGTTAAAAATATAGAAAATAGCAGGATTATGAACATGTTTAGTTGAGTTTATCAGTTCTGTTGACATTCGTTTTCAGAGTATCAGATCAAAGTAGCGTTCTGTTGCATCGCTACGTTTCACTGAGATAAACTCTTGATTCTGTAGAAACATTCTCTGTTTTAAAACGTGTTTTAAAAAGTTTGACAACTGTCACTAACTTTATTCTGATTGTAGCTGAATTTATGTTTTATACAAATTCCAAGACACTGTTGCTCAATGTGTTTGACGAATAACAGGAAGCCCCTCCCCTTCCCTATTTTTTTTTTAACAGTAGATTTAGAAATGTATTTATTTTTAACAAACTCAAAGATTAGTGTTGAACATAAACATGTTTCATGGAGTTTGCTAAACAAAAACAAAACCTATTTAAGACCCATCATCACCGTCAATTCTGTCCTTTTCTACTACTTTGTAAATTTCTTAACAGAGCGCTGTTAAAACTTTTTGTTTTTATGGTAATGATTATTTTGATACAAAATAATGTTTTCAGTGCATTTTTTAAGTTGTTTTTTTAGAAATTGTATTGATTGAACAGCAGTGAAGTAATTCCAAAATGCATAAAGTTTTAAATATGAATTAAAACTTGTAGAACATCATTTGCCAACTTGTGTTTATGATACTAGAGAAGAAAACAGGAATATTTTTATATATAGCTCACTAAAAATGCCTACTGTGTCTTTCTTGGGCATTAAAAAGTTTTATTTGGAGACATGTTGACATTGATGTGCTTTGCCAGTGTAGTATTTCATGAGTGTTGGATGGTTAGCTCAAATATATTTAGTTTCAGATCCCCTCACTGGCTTCATAATCGACTTATCTCTACACCAGTCAACTACAGAACACTGTCATGTTGCCCAATGTTTATATTCATGTGGTTTGTGTGTCATGTGGTTATAATTATATTTGAAGCAGAAAAGTTCAGCTTCAGTGACTTGTGTTATTTCATATTAATTCAATTGAATTCAGTTTATTTTTATAGCACGAGGACCAAAACATGCATGTTAGGCTGCCTTCAGGCCCGGCCTCCCTTTCAAAAGAGATCTGTGATCTCAGTGGGATTTACCTGGTTAAATAAAGGTTACAGAAACTGTCTCAGGGCACTGAACAGAAACATTCACATACATATAAAGCTACATAAAGTTACAGTATCTATCTAAGGAAGCCATCAGACTCATTGAATCTTCACTTCGTCGTAGTCTCCCATCCTGAGCAAGCATAAAGGCAACAATGGAAAGGAACAAAAAAATCCCTTTTAACAGGAAGAAACCTCCAGCAGAACCAGGCTCAGTGACCATCTGCTTCATCCAGAGAAGGGAGGGATTGGATCCAGTAAGTCATGGTGCAGAGTGTTAGAACAATGTTAACGAGCTGCGTGCCTTAAGTCTACATGAAAATCATGCAGCCAAGAACAACACTGGCTGTACTATGTTAGATTTACTATGCACATGTAATGCGTGCAAAAAATTTCTACCATGCACTTTGAACGCAGACTGCAGGTTTACTTGAGGTTCCTGGATTCTTCAAAAGTAGTTTGGGAGGCAGAGCTTTCAGTTATCAGGCTTCTCTTTTGTGGACCAGATTCCAGTTTTTGTCTGCGAGGCTGACACATTTACTTTTACATTAAGCTTAAGTCCTTCCTTTTTGATAAATCCTATATTTAGGGTTGCTTGGGTTTCCTGAGCTATCCCCTAGTTATGCTGCTATAGGCTCAGACTACTGGAGGACAACTTGGCCACATTTCCTCCAATTAATAGTTACAAATTAATACAAATGAAGTTTGTATTTGTAATTATTTCTATCTTAACATGTTTTTTGTCTTTCCTCCTATAGATAGTACACCTGGACCTGCCGTATTGTGTCCGTTTCTACTTCCTGTCCTCTCAAACCCTAGCCATTGACATGGTTCAAAAGATAAGTCTTTTGGACAGGTGCAGACTTTGATTAGCTTAATGTTAGGCTCAGTGAATGGAAGTGGCTCTGATATTTTTATGTACATATTCTTAGCATCATATTCATGCACACACTTTAGAGTTGTTGTCTACTTTGGCAGCTTTATGGGGACCAAAACAAGTTTTGATGGGCTCTATCTGTCCTGGAGGCTGCTTGTTGATTTAGCCTACCTATCAGAACAGAATACACTGAGATCATTAGAGATTTAAATATTCCATGGATGGATCTGATTTACGGTTATATGTGGCTTCTAAAGGTAATGGTTAAAGTTTCCAACCGAAGGTGGTGAATACGTTTGCACACATCACTTCGGTTTTATAGTTTAAAAAGGACCAAGTACTTTCTCTAACTATAATAAGTCTGACACTTGTTGCTGTCATATCTAGAGATAGGATTGATTTTATTGTGATGTTAGTTAAAACTGCGTCTTGTCTTAAAAATGCCGTAACAACTAGATCATTTGCTCGTTGCTACACGTTTATTATTTTACCATAATTCTCATTTCCTGTATCCTTTTGTTGAAGGGCCATGTTTCAGTTGGACTGATGTCAGCTTTGTGAATTATCTGAGAAGATGTGCACCACTTCATGACAGTTCTTCAACAGAGTGACCACAGTTCATGTGCTTGCTCTAAAAGTCAAAGGTTACGATGAACAGTGAACACATTAAAGACCAGTAAACTTCCCAACCTGTATCATCAGTTCCCACACTGCTTACTGGTTTGCTTTGTTTTTTTAGTTATTCTTCTTGTTTTGATTTCATCCCTGCTAAGTGCCCTCCCTTTATACTGTTGCTCCAGTAACTTCTAGGCGAGCCTTTCTAACAGGCTTAAAGTAAACTGGATTAGAGGGCATTAAAAAGTCCCCCTCTCTCCCTCTCCTTACACACCATCTGCCCATCTACCTGAGTCAGGAGCTAGACTCCCTCTGCTGTGATTTACACCTTTTTACAGCTGCAGAGGGAGACGGATTGTACTGTCAAATGTTTTCTTATCAATATTTTTTGCAGCTGGAGAATTCTAAGCTATGCCAACTTGCAAGCTGCTCTTACATTACTTGAGAGGAAACACAAATCTGCTTGATCCTTTTCCGAGTCCTCGGATTTAAGCACGATTTAACATGAGCAACACATCCCGGAGAAGTCTTTTCTGCTCTGCTCTCTTGAGTTTAGTGGTCATATTTCTGGACAGGCAGACAGGTATGTATCAGTGGATAATCTATTCAGTCTTTTTTCTTACTTTTTGAATTGATTATTGTTGTTTGTGTCAAAGCTGCAACGCTGGAAGGCTCCTCCATGGGAGACCCAGGTCGGCCTTACTTTCAGGAGCCTGAGGCTTTTCCGCACATCATTCGAGTGTCTGATGTGAAGGCGTCTTATGAAAGCCACGCGGTTATGTCTCGACAAAAAAGGAACATCTTTTTTCAGAGTGGACTCAGGCTGTGTGGGAAAGAGACCACTGAGCAAGTTGTTTCGCACCATCTCAGTTACTTTCATCTCAGAGGTAAGATTCAAATCGAGCAAAACGCGAGGCCAGCAGCAATGAGAAAAGTCCTTTATTAAATGGTACATTGTCCTCTGTGTGCTAAAAGTTAACTCCTGAATGAAATGATGTTTACCTTTGCTGCATAATGAGATCTACCTGTGTTCTGGGTTAGATCTAGTCCACGGGTAGGGGATCTACCCGTGTCCGGTGTCAGTGAGCATCTACATGGACACTGGTAACAGGTTTTTAGTAGAGCATGGTTTTCAGATGGGAGTGTGGCCTACTCACTGGGCCATTTTACTTTATTTTAAAATTTATTCTCGTTTGTTTGTTGTGCTTCTTTCAAAGCGTTCACACAGAGCTAGTCAAAATCCCTCACCCAGTATTGCTACACATTCTTAAAAAGTATAGAATTTGTTTTTTGTGTTTTCCAGTTCTGGATCAGTATCGAGAAAAGAAAACCGTATAGAAAAAGGTCTCAAGATTTTCAACTAAAAAATTCCAGGAGCAGAGTATTTTTCTACAATAATTGTCAGTTCATCTACCATTTCAAGCCTCAAATTTCTGTTTAGTCATCTGTATCTTAGTCTTTGAGTTTCTGACTCAGATGCAGAGACTCGGACGTTCTTAAATAACTGTGGATCAGAAGGTACGATAGTTTGACATGGTTACAATCTTCTCTTATTGATCATGTGGCTTTAGACAAGACCATGGACCCAAAGTTACTTCCAATAAGAGCACCTTGAATGACATATTACTGCATTTCTTTCTGAAGCAGTTTGCAGAGTGTGAAGTGGCTGCGATAAGAATCCTCAAAAGTTAGAGGCCATGGTCCTCGACCAGAAATGGAAAGCCCTCTCCGGGTCGAGGGAGAGTCTTTGCCTCCAATGGAGGAGTTTACGTGTCTGGGTGTGTTTATGAGTGATAGTAGGATGGAGCGGGAGATGGAACGACAGGTTGGGGCTTCGTCCTTAGAAATGAGGTCAGTTGTGGTGAAGAAAGAGTTGAGTTGAAAGGCAAAGCTCTTGATTTAACAGTTTGTCTTTGTTCCAACCCTCATCTATTGTCACGAGGTTTGGATCATGACCGAAAGAACAAGATTTTGGACATTATTTTTTGGCTACTACCTTCTGTAGGGGTCGCTACATTGAGTGAACTTGCATGAAAGATTTGGCAATTGTTTTACGCCGGATTCCCTTCCTGACAACCTGGGCTTGAAATTTCAACCCCAGGATTACAAGGCTGTGGCATTTAACCGCTGAGCTACCGTTTCCTTCATAGGGTGGCCAGGCTTAACCTTAGACAAAGGGTGAGGAGCTCCGTCATCCAGGGTGCTTGGAGTAGAGCAGCTGCTTCTTCGCATTCAAGTTGATCTGGTTTGGGCTTCTGATTAGGATGCTTCCTGGACGCCTTCCTTTGGAAATTTTCTGGGCATGTCCCAATGGAAAGAAGCTTTGGAGTAAACCCAGAACTCTTCTCTAGCCTGAGAACACCTAGGACCCCCCAGGAGAAGCTGGAGAGTGTCGCTGAGGAGAGGGATGTCTGGGTTTCTCTCCAAGACCTGTTGCCTCCATGACCTAAGTCAGAGCTCAGTATTTGACCAGTGACCTAAAACTCTACAACCTTATCTTGATAACAGAATATGTCCACACTTAATTTTCAACCTCCTGTGCACCTGTTTTAGTTTATGACTGTGTTTCAACTCACATTTAAAGATGATCATTAACACCTGTTTGGTATAAACACTTGCAGTTAAATTCCTGATTTTGTTTAAGGGCACCTAGAAGACTCAATGATATACAGGCACACTGTAATTACTCTTAATATTAATCTGATTAAAATTCCTACAAATAAACATAATTTAAGAGTATTACCAAGGAAGCAAGCTCTGCAGGTTTAGTTTATGAAGGTAATGGTGTCCGTTGTCTGACCAGTGTGCCAGGAGACCATATGGGAGGCTTTCAAAATCTTCTGGGACCGAGTACCAGAGCAAGAGGAATACCAAAGATGGATGAACCAGTGCCAGGAGGATGCAGTCACTGCACGAGATATCGGCAGCTACTTTAGTCAATCAGAGGAGCATCAGGCTCTGGTAAAATGGGTGAGTAGAAAACTGATTATCTAATACAAGTGGAAATCTGATCACAGTAAATTTCCACGCAGGACGGCTTATATCAGAGTTTATAACACTGTTCTGTGTTTCCAGAGAATCTCACATTCAGGTTCTCAAAGGTAAAGGACACTCTCCACTTGTTACCTGTGTAACATTTCACAGAAACTTTTGCTATCTCAAGACGTCTGTGTTTTGTAAATGTGCCATTCTCCCCACTATCTGTAGTGAGCCCACCAAGTCCTGGCAGCATATGTGCAGGTGAGGTTGTTAAAGTTCTTCAACCTTACCTGTTCATATTCCTACTAATCAGCAATCAAACGTGACTTTAGAGCTCTCACCTTTGATATGATTGGATCTGTGTTCCATTTTAATAGTCTTAGTTATAGAAGCCAGTGATATGTTTCAGCTCCCTCTAGACCGGATCAACTTTTTGGGTGTTATTTTATACTTTTAAATTAATTTCCACAAAAACAACAAAATGAATTGGAACAAGGGATAGAAAATAAATTTATTCAGTCAGGAAATACTGCATGATACAACGTATCAATGTTCCCAATGCTATACATAAAACCAACAGGAAAAAAAAGAATAAAAAAAAGGAAGTACAATCATAAGAAAAATAACATCTGTCATTCCTAAGGTTTTATGTGTCAGGAGAAAATAAAATGGATCTTTACCACATTTTAAAATATTCAAATTTTATCTCAAGTGTACAAAAACACAAAGCAGATTTTACTTTATGATTTATTAAACAAAAACGAAGCCAAAATGGAAAATATGTGTGATAAACTAAGTCCACCACATAATCCAACAGCTTGCCCTTTTAGCAGAAATAACTTAAAGTAGTTATTTTCTGAAGGACTTTATCAGTTTCTCCGCGTTGTGGGATAATTTTGACCCACTTTTCTTTACAATGTTTAGTTTGTTGATGCTTGCAGACTTTGTTCTGCACAGCTCCCTTAAGGTGCTGCCACCGCATTTCAATCAGACAGAGGTCTGGATTTTGATTGTTTTTCTTTTTCTGTTGTAGATTTGCTGCTGTGTTTGGGATCATTTCCCAGTTTGGTCCAAGCTTTAGCTGTCAGACAGATGGCCTCACATTTGACTCAGAATATTTTGCTCTGCAGAGGACAGACTGAAAGGTGCTCAGGTCCTGTGGCTGTGAAACAATCCCAAACTATCAGACCTCCACCACTGGGAGTTGGTATGAGGTGTTAGTGATAGCACACTGCGTTTGGTTTTCTCCAAACATGATGCTGCACATTTAGGGTAAACATCTGGACTCATCAGTGCAAACAACATTGTTGCAGAAATGTGGTTAATTCAGGTTCATTTCCACAAACTAAGTTCTTCTGACATATCTTTCAGTCTACAAGTGTTCAGGGCAATTTTATACTGACTCATTTGTACAGGAAATTTAACTTTTAACACGTTAACTGATGCCTGTACAGTCTGATATATAGCTCTTGAGTTTTTGCGCCTTTTCTGAGCATTGCACGGTCTGATTATGCTGGAATCTCCAATTCAAGGAAGACGGCAGCTGTCGTAAATGTTTTCCACTTGTGAGTAATCTTTTTCCCTGTAGAATGGTGGATTATTAGGAAATTACATTTAATCTCTCCCAGACTGATGAGCAAAACCCGTTCCTTCTCAAAGGTCATGGTTCAGATTTTTCCTCCTTGGCATTGTGTTACAACACATCTTTATGGGTCAGAGCAGTAAACTGCGACGGGGGACAAAGAGTGTAAGGAGCGGGAAATTGGAAAAACCTTCTGTCTTTTTGTCATTCTTGTGAGCTTGATAACAAAAATAAGTGAGATACCAACTTCCATTTTGGCGTATGGCTGTACCTTGGCCTGAGAAAGGTCAATCGAAAATTTGGTTGCCATGTCAAAATCCAAGATGGCCACCTCCATATATTTATGTATGACAATGCTTTCTAGTTTTTATATTGATAAAAATATAGTTTCCTGAAATGATTAGGGAGACTGGTGGAGTGGCCAAAGATTAATCTATTGTGCCCAAAGCCACCACTGGCCACCCTCTGGCTCTGCCAATGCGCTCACTGGTGGATAAAATTGCTCCCTTCACTTGCCAGGATCTGTCCTTCTGCGTCACATTAAATAGGCTAAAGACAAAAAACTATCTCTCTTTTCCCACTTGAAAATCGTCCATCTCGACAACTACAATCATTCACTATCAAATCCCTCAGCGACCCCCAGAAACCCCCCAGAATTGAAGCAGGGTGGCTTTATGTCTCATGAATGTATTCAAGCAAATAAAAACACAGAATTGTACAAACTTGAAATCTAAAATGCCACAAAGATGCATTTTAGTTTTGAAAAATAAATAAGCAAAAAGCAAGACATTTCTAACAAACACAAATGTGATAAAATGACACAAAATAGATTTTTTATTTTTAGTTATATAAACTGTACTAAAGATTTGACCCATTTTCCCCATATATCTGTTATTTTGTATGATATTTTATTGTTCTACTCGGTCTATTACATAAAGGTAAAATATGTTGTAGATGAGTATGGGGTGCTGTTTGTAAAGTTATACAGTCAAAAATCAACAGCAATATTTTGGTTTATTTAGCCTTTGATAAGAAAATAATAGCTTTTTTTTTTTCAAAGTCATATTTTCACCAAGTTATTCATAGATTTATAACTGTCACAATTCCAAACCAAATATTTAGTTTTCAAACTAAATACTTAACTTGTAAGTTAAATATTTAGTTAGTAAACTAAGTATTTAGATGTAAATTAAATATTTAATTTCCAAGCTATAAATTTATTTTCAACACTAAACACTTAATTTCCAAACTAAATATTTAGGTCTGAGCTAAATATTTAGTTAGCAAATTAAATATTTATTTTGGAAATTAAATGTTTAGCTTGGAAAATAAATATTTAGGTCTGAGCTAAATATTTATTTAGCAAATTAAATATTTAGTTTAGGAATCAAATGTTTAATGTAGAACATAAATGTTTAGTTTGGAAATTAACTATTTAGCTTGGACAATAAATATTTGGTTTAGAAATTAAATGTTTAGTTTTGAAAATGATTATTTAGCTTGGAAATTAAATATTTAATTTACACCTAAATATTTAGTTTACTAAATATTTAACTTGCAAGTTAAGCATTTAATTTTTAAACTAAATATTTAGCTTGTAAATTAAATGTTTAGTTTGGAACTATGACATTTATAAATGTATGAATAACATGATGAATATATATATATATCAAATATATATTTTGAAAAACAAAACAAAACATTTTTTTTCTTATTAAAGGCTAAATAAACCAAAAATATTGCTGTAATTTTTTTTTGGACTGTGTAACTTTACAAATGGCACCCCATAGATAAGACTGCTTGCTATCTAATATTGAGGCTGTTCGTCTTTTTTTTTTTTTTTACATTTTTCTCATATATTAAACACCCCCAAAAAGTTAACCCTTAAAATGGTATATGCATCTCCATTCACTGTTGTTTAACTTGCAAACACTTTCTCACAGTGTTGTAATGTGACATCAGGAAAGTTCAAAATGTGTTTTATGTTTCTCAGCTCACCAACGTCAGCAAGTCCAGCAGCTGTTGATGCTCCTGAGCTGGGTCAGTTTCACTCCTAATCACACTGTTCATGAACAATAACGTTAGCAAATTCTCCAAGCTTGATCACTTTTTGTGCACAAATTGTTTCTGACGCAGAGTCCGTCTGTTCAAATGGATTTTTTTGTGTTTGTTTTTCATTTCTGGTTCCAAACTGTGTCAAACTTTGTGTTTTACATTACGTGTGAGCCAACTAGGACAATCTAACTCACCCCACTTTCAGACCATTGACCAAAGATTTTAGATTAAATTCACTTAACTAAATAATAAATTCACTTTTTTTAATACATAAACTCGACCATGCAGAGGATACAGAAAAGGAGGATGCAGCTCCCGTCTCACCAGAGGTAAGTCCAGTGAGTCACACACACACACGCTGTTGATGCATTCTAAATGTGTGTGCGTGTGCTCTCCTACATTGAAACTGTGTTTTTCTCTCATGGCACAGCTATCCAATGAAATCACCATGCAGCCTAGCAGCACCACCGTGTTGGAGCAGGTGGTGGAGCTGAGCATCCTCCTGACGGGAGAGATTTTCAGTGATGACCTCAATGATCCAGCCAGCCTCAAGTTCCAGACGCTCAGCAGACATCTTGCTGAAAAGGTTCCTCTTTAGCTCCTTCTGCTTCTGCCTGCCACTTTTATTTCCCCCATAGTTCTCCCCTGCCTTGACATTTGTATGAGTCCACATTAACATGCTACAAAATAATAAGCATTGCATGCTGGGTTATCTCTTGTTGAACACTCGAACCCAAAAACCTTGCTCAAAGTTCACATATTATGTAATGCACAGTTGGTGAAAGAACATTTTCAAAAGCTTTAAGAAAATTCTTTGAATACATAAATTGTTGCACATGCATGCATTTGCACAGGTAGTTGTGAATGGAAGCAGGTTCAGTAGTTTTACGAGTTCTCAGAAATTTCCCTAATTGAGTGTGGGATGCGAGCAACACAGAATAAAAATGTCATCAGCACATCTATCAGTAAGTTTGTCTTATGTATTTTGTTCTAGGTTTTAAGTGTTAGAAGGGTTTTTTTTTCTGTAGAATTTCTTAGATCCATAAATCTGCAAACACCTACACACACACTGCTACACATCAACATCCATCTAATATTGCATACCTTCAGAGATCATGTGTCTGCAGACTAAAGCTCTTTGAGGCCCGTATGCATTTAGTGCTTCTTTAAGATAGGTCAGAACAGTTATGAATTAGGAACTGATTGCAATGCATCAGTCAGCAGTTTTAGGCACAAAAGCTAAAAATAAACTGTTAAACAAGTCTATTGCCCCTGAAACATTAATATTTTTTTGTCCAATGTTAAAACAAACCAGCAGTAGTTTTAATCTTTGCATGTATGAACTTTATTTGTGCAGATTGAAAACGCTCTGGAGGGGCTTCCTGGATTCAAGAGTGTTTCTGTCATCGACTTCAGGTCAGATTCAACCTTTATGTTCTGGTCTAAACCTTCTCTGTTTTCAACGTCTGCATATTTTCTGCTCTCAGCAGAAGTTTAACAGCTGCTTGTTTCATGTAGACCTCAGAAGGACACCCAGGGGTGAGTTATTATTCATGGTAGTTAGACCTCCTTCTTGATGTGTTGTGTTTAATTCCATGGATCATTGTCATTGCTCAGGTAAAGCTGTGGACCTGTGAACAGGGCCATGTGTTTAGCTGTATCACTAGTTGTCTGTGCTAATGGTCTTAGAGCAGTCACTCACCTGTTAAGTGGGATCAGGATGGGTCCTACCAAGCAAGCAGATGCTTTTCTCTAGAGACAATTATCAGAGTTTTATGACCTCACTGATCATTATCTGATGGAGAAAAGGAGGAAAGGAATACAGATTACCAATGCTGGTTTTGACTGTGGTCCCAACTCCCTTCAGGTCGTTAAGAGCCTCCTGTGTAGCTGATCCCTCACCTCCCTCATCATCCTCATACCATGAGACAAGATCTTGCATAGAGCTGATATTTAAAAAAAATATATTTCATCCATTTCTGAATGATATCCATTGAAATGAACCAATTGTTTCATATAATCTGTGTGCCACATGGACACACGACTAATCTGCAGGAGCCAGAGTTCTGTCTGGGTTGTAGGGGATTAAAATGCATATTTCTGTCAACAATTTGCAAATCAGTTTGTAACTTTTATAGTATGTGTGGTTATTATTATTTTTTTTTTAGATTTTTATTTTATATTCTCCAGTTAAAAAAAACAACTACCATCAGCATTTGAGAGTGGCTGTTTCTTTGCAAACAGCCAAACTTACAATATCAGCAGGGGATCAAATAATTATCCTCCTCATCCCATTTTTTAAACAACCATATAATGCACATTTATGTAGTTTTCATTCAACCTTTATTTATACAGGTTAGTCACATAAAGTACATTAAGAAACATGATTGCTTTCATTACCTAAACCAGCCACTACGGAGCACAAGCCAGTGTATCTCTTGTGCTGGTCCCAAGCCCGGGTAAATAGTGAGGGTTGTGTCAGGAATGGCATTCGATGTAAAACACTTTTGCCAAAACCATAATGCGAGTTCATCAAAGCGAAACCATACCAGATCTGTTGAGGCCTGGGTTAACAACGACCGCCACCGGTGCTGTTGACAAACAGGGTGCCGGCGGAAATTGTGCTACTGTTAGTCGAAGACCACGAGGAGGGAAACGTGTCAGGAGACAGAGGGAGAAGAGGAAAGTGAAGAATGTAGGACTGAGGGTTACAACTCTAAATGTGGGGACAATGACAGGCAAAGGTAGAGAGCTGGCTGACATGATGCAGAGAAGAAAGGTAGATGTTCTATGTGTCCAAGAGACCAAGTGGAAGGGCAGCAAGGCTCGCAGCATTGGAGCAGGGTTCAAACTGTTTTACCATGGTGTGGATAGAAAGATAAATGGTGTAGGGGTGGTCCTGAAGGAGGAGTTGGCAAAGAATGTAGTAGAGGTGAAGAGAGTAAAGGTAAATGAACTGTACTTATATAGCGCTTTTCTATCTTATTTCAAGATACTCAAAGCACTTTACACTACACTCTGTGCCCTTATTTACCCATTCATACAGCACTCTACTAGATCTCTATAAAGCTAATTGAACAAATCATTCTAAAGAGACTAATCAGTGCTTTATCACATTCATACACCAATGGGACACACATCAGAGGCTATGAGGGGTTCAGTGTCTTGCCCAGGGACACTTCGACATTTGACTGCTGGTGGATTCAAACCCCCAACTCTCACATTGGAGGATGACTGCTCTAACCACTCAGCCACAGCCGCCCCACAACCTTTGTGTGTCAGATAGGGTGATGTGCCTGAAGGTAGAAGTAGAAGGTCTGATGCTAAACATCGTCAGGGGTTATGCTCCACAGGTTGGATGTGATGAGGAGGAGAAAAACACATTTTGGAAAGATCTGGATGAAGTGATAGAGAGTATCCAGGGAGGAGAGAGTGGTGATTGGAGCAGACCTGAATGGACATGTTGGTGAAGGAAACAGAGGGGATGAGGAAGTGATGGGTAGATTTGGTGTCAAGGAAAGAAACCAGAAAGGACAGATGGTGGTAGATTTTGCCAAGAGAATGGAAATGACTGTAGTCAATACCTATTTCCAAAAGCGGGAGGAACATAGAGTGACCTATAAGAGTGGAGGAAGGAGTACGCAGGTCGACTACATTCTGTGTAGAAGAGGAAACCTGAGGGAGATTGGAGACTGTAAGGTTGTGGTAGGGGAGAGCGTGGCCAGACAGCTTCGGATGGTTGTGTGTAGAATGACTGTTGTTGTGAAGAAGAGAAAAAGAGTAAAATCAGAGAAGAATACCAAATGATGGAAGCTGAAGAAGTAAAAATGCTGTGAGAAATTCAGAGGGGAGCTGTTAAAGGCTCTGTTTAGTAAGAAAGAGCTTCCAAATGACTGGGCTACTATAGCAACAGTAATTAGAGAGACAGGTAGGAATGTATCTGGTGTGTCATCTGGACAGAGAATGGAAGAAAAGGAAACATGTTGGTGGAATAATGAAGTGCAGGACACCGTTCAAAGAAAGAGGTTAGCCAAGAATAAATATGACAGTGAGAGGACTGAAGAGAGGAGACAGGAATATAAGGAGATGGGACGTAGAGCAAAGAGGGAAGAAGCTAAGGCAAAGCAGAGGACATATGATGAGTTGTATGGGAGACTGGACACTAAAGAGGGCGAGAAGGACTTGTACCGATTGGCAAGACAGAGGGATCAGGCTGGAAAGGATGTGCAACAGGTTAGGCTTATTAAAGATAGGAATGGTAATGTTCTAACAAGTGAGGAGAGTGTGACAGAAAAATGGAAGGAGTACTTTGAGGAGCTAATGAATGAAGATAATGAAAGAGAAATAAGAGTAGAGATTATAGAAACTGTGGACCAGGAAGTGGGAAAGATTAGTGAGGGTGAAGTCCGGAAAGCTCTGAAAAGAATGAAGAAGGGGAAGGCAGTAGGACCTGATGACATACCAGTGGAGGATTGAAAATGTCTTGGAGAGATGGCAGTGAGGTTTTTGACTCAAATATTCAATGGCATATTTGAGGATGAGAAAATGCCTCAGGAATGGAGGAGAAGTGTGCTGGTGCCCATTTTTAAGAACAAGGATAATGTACAGAGTTGTAGCAACTGCAGGGGAATTAAGTTGATGACCCAAACGATGAAGATCTGGGAGAGAGTTGTGAAAGCAAGACTTAGATGAGAGGTGACTATCTGTGAGCAGCAGTATGGTTTCATGCCAAGAAAGAGCACCACAGATGCCATCTTTGCTTTGAGAATGCTGATGGAGAAGTACAGAGGGGGTCAGAAAGAACTCCATTGTGTCTTTGTGGATTTAGAAAAAGCATATGACAGAGTGCCGAGGGGGGAGTTGTGGTATTACATGAGGAAATCTGGAGTGGCAGAAAAGTATGTTAGACTGGTACAGGACATGTATGAGGACAGCAGGACAGTGGTGAGATGTGCTGTAGGAGTGACAGATAGCTTCAAGGTGGAGGTGGGATTTCATCAAGGATCCGCTCTGAAACCCTTTTTGTTTGCTCTGGTGATGGACTGACTAACAGATGAGGTCTGTCAAGAATCCCCTTGAACGATGATGTTTGCAGATGACATTGTGATCTGTGGTGAGAACAGGGAACAGGTGGAAGAGAACTTGGAGAGGTGGAAGTATGCACTTGAAAGAAGAGGAATGAAAGTCAGCCATAGTAAGACAGAGTACATGTGTGTGAATGAGAGGGAGGCTGGTGGAATAGTGAGGCTACAAAGGAGCAGAGGTCACAAAGGTGCAGGACTTCAAGTACCTGGGGTCCACTGTCCAGGAAAATGGGGAATGTAGTAAGGAAGTGAAAAAGAGAGTCCAGGCAGGATGGAATGGATGGAGAAAAGTTTCAAGAGTGATTTGTGACAAAAAAAGTGTCAGCAAAGGTCAAAGGAAAAGTTTACAAGACAGTGGTGAGACCAGTTATATTGTATGGTCTGGAGACAGAGGCATTGACAAAAAGATAGGAGAAAGAACTGGAAGTGGCAGAAATGAAGATGCTATGGTTCTCCTTAGCAGTGACAAGGCTGGATATGATTAGAAATTAGATCATCAGAGGTACAGCACATGTTTAACAACTGAAAGATAAAGTTAGAGAGACCAGACTGAGTTGGTTTGGACATGTCAAGAGGAGGGATCTTGGGTATATTGGTAGAAGGATGTTAGAAATGCAGCTGCCAGGAAAAAGACAAAGAGGAAGGCCAAAGAGGAGATATATGGATGCAGTTAGAGAGAACATGAAGGTAGCTGGAGTGAGGACAGAGGATACAGAGGACAGAGTGAGGTGAAGGAGGATGACTCACTGTGGGGACCCCCGAAGAGGGAAAAGCCGAAAGAAGAAGAAGAAGATTGCTTTCATTACCTGCAGATAACAAAGCACAGCAGTTTTTCTGACTTAAAATAAAAGAGACAAGCTCTCTCTTTTAAATTAGCTGACTTTGGGTCTGTAAGTGCTCAGCTGTCTGCCAGCAACCCCACAAACTAGGTCAACATTGGAGAATTTGCAACACTCAGATGAACACTAATGATTGTTGAAATGAGCCTGGCCCTGCAGTGTTTATGATGATGATGATGCTCTCACCCTATTCTGTCAAACCTTTTGTGTTCAAGAAAGTTCAACCACAAATTTTACGAAATAATCTAACTTATGGATATATAACAGAAAATTGTTAATGACGTTCTGTTACTTGTACCCACTGCTTTGCATAAATGCACTTAAAGTCCTAACAAAATAATGTCTTGGTCCAGTCCTGTTAGTCTTATGAACAGCATCGTGTTTGTCTCACCAGGTTGGACAACATAGTGGTTGACTACGCCGTCACAGTGGAGGTGGATGGAGCTGGAGTGAGCTCCGAGCAGCTTAACTACCTGACCTTGCAGTCGAACAGAGTGGAAAACTCCTATAGCGAGATCCAGGAGCGCCCCACGATGGTCTATAGCATCAGCGAAGTGAAAAACATCTTCACTGGTAAGATGAGAGCCTCTTGATTTACATTTGTGTGGGAAACTTGATTTATATCAATGTAATCGATTGGGTTCAATTCTTTTATATTGGTATGAATGTTTATGAAGCATTCACACTATTCTGATCTATTTATCTTCTGTATGTTTTTCAGCATCTTTCTCGTTCCACAATTTTTGTTCTAGTTCAACAAATCTTATATCAAGATGTTCAGCTCAAGGAGAAGGGTGCTATGACTTCTGGTATTGGTGCAATTCTAGCTTTTTGAAAAATTTAGCCTTTTCTGACACTTTTTTTTAATCATAGAAAATGAATTGAGCTCATTTTCCATCCTTCACATCTTTAGATCTATTTACAACTTTTTACTGCTCCTTTCACATTTTGTTCTGCTTCAGCTTTTTTGTGCAAATTTAAACTTTTTTCTAACTACTTTCAGCTAATTTCCACTTTTTTTGTGCACATTTCTGCTTCTTTCAGCATAATTGGGCAAACATGTTTTTTCTGTTTTCTTCGGCTAATTTAAGCTTGCTCTAAATTTTCAGCTAGCCTTTAGCATTTTTAGCTAATTTCATCTGTTTTCAGATAAATTCAAGTTTTTCATGTTAATTTCTACTAGTTTTAGCCTAATTAACTTCTTTATGCTAATTTCAGCCTGTTATGTCCCTTTCGGTCTTTTTCTGATAGTTTCAGCTTTTTTTCTTGCTATTTCCACTACCATATAGCTCTTTTGATGCTAATTTTAGCCTTTTCAGCTAATTCCACTTTTTTTTTTAGATCATTTCAGCTTTTTCTGCTTCCTTCTGGTAGTTTAAGCTTCTTTTTCTCTTTTCAGCTATTTTATTTTGTTATGTTGTTGCTAATTTAGCTAATTTCTTAATTTTAGTGCTCATTTCAGCTTATTTAAACATTTTTCAGCAAATATGTGTTCGTTCTCCTTTCTTCTCCTAATTTAGGCTTGTTCTTTCATTTTAGCTTCATTTCAGATATTTTTTTTTTTGGTTGTTGCTAATTTCAGCTGTTTAACACACGTCCCATAAACCTTTCATTTCTTGATGATGGATTTAACAGAACTCCTGTGGATGTTAAGGGCTTTGGAAATCCTTTTGTATCCATCCCAGTACTCATACTTTTCAATAATCGTCTCTCCCAGTTGAATTAGGACACATACTTGTATTTTACAGTAAACTCTTGAAATAATGTCTGAGTTGAAATCTCCTGAGTAATATTTGATCTGTCCTTTTTTAAGCCAAAATAAACCATATTTTAATAAAATAGAGGAGTGTTGCTATTAACTAAGGCTACTAGCTGGTTTCCATGAAATGTGCACGACGATTGCCAATTTGTATTATTTGGTTTGGCTCAACTATTTTTCAGTCCCACCTCAGCTGAGGTTTCATGGGAGCTGAGCTCCAAATAAACACAAATGTGGAAACATTTGAATCCTGACAGGTCAGAGAAAATTTTCACCTGTAGGAGAAACAATAACATCCACTGGTGAAGACTTGCAGACACTTCTACATATATATATATTTTTGGTTCTCTGAAGAGAAAAGTAGTTTCCAGTCTGCACATACGGTGGAACAATGCTGCAATGGTGAGCAGCTGATTCCAGTCGTGTTGATGAGATACAGTCTGCAGTGGAAAATGAAGTGTAGATGAGCCAAGTCGAGCTAAGCTGGATTATGCAATAAAAAACAACAGAAAAAAAAAAACCCGACTTGATTGCTCGAGTTGGCTGGATGGGTTTTAATGAAACAAAGAGTACTTATAGGGCACATTTCTACAAATGATTACCTTTAGAAGTAAATCCAAGTCAAAATGGTCAGCTGACCTTAGAAAACACATCTAATTTAGTTCATTTTATGGATATTAAGCTAAAATTGGGTGTGATTGTAGCGTAGCTGAGAGCCATTCACAACTCAAGCACTACACGTTGTGCAAGGTAGTTAATGTCAAAATTTAGGGCAGTGTCTGCAATCTTTTTGATCAAAAAGCCATTTCTGCTCTTTCACTCATTAAATAAAAAAGAGCCTGGAGCCACAAAACCTGCTACAACTGTAATGATCAACTGGTGGCCCATGGGCCACTTTGAGGTAGTTGGAGGGAGATTTTCTGATCAGTGGGGGTGACATTTTAAAACTAATAATCAATAATGAATTTCAACATTTATTCATATTTTACATTTTGGGACAAAACATAACTATTGTGTAAAGAAAATGTATCAGAATCAGAATAAGCTTTATTATCATTATACCAAGATACAGTGAGATTATGTTCGTACAGTCATCCCAAAGATGGGTAGAGTGCACGTTGCTGCTGCTCCTAAGTGCGCGGCCTCTTATTCTTTTTAGATAGGAAAATGTATTTATTTATTAACCTTTATTTAACCAGGCAAATGATCTCAATGAGATCACAGCACAGATCTCTTTTGCAAGGGAGGCCTGGGCCTGAAGGGAAAAAGCCATGAGGAGAGGATAGCGGTATTACAAAAAAGATCTCTTCACACCATGTCCTTGTCAGGACACAGTTTAAGACATCAAAAAACTCTACCAGCAAGCACATTTATAGACACATTACATATGCATTTGATGACAAGACAGTGAGATTTGTCCATAAAGCACTTCCAGATAGCACCGTAGTCCTGTTAAGATGTTGGTATCAGTCCGTACAGTTCTGATGAGCGTTCACAGAAGTTCTCGGGGGGGGGGGGGGGGGGGGTTGAGATAGACAGCTTTCTCAGTTTACACATATCCCAGGAGAAATGTGATAAGTCGGCCTGCTTCGAGGCCAAACGAGGGAGTCAGATTCAAATATGCCACAGTTGTTTTTTTGTTTTTTTTTCCAGGCAGATTGTTATTTCTCGTCAGCCTTGAGTTCTGCTAGTACCAGTACTTTTAAATGTCCAGATTTGTGGGCATTCCCCTCCAAGGTCGTCCCCAACATGCTGGAGAGTCCCAAAGCCACAAGTGTCCTGCAATTTTCACAAATTGCTTCCATCTTATGGTTTAGCTTGTAAATCAGCTGATTTTGAGTGTTCAAAGCACGAACCAAACCTGCAGAGAGGGTCGGCAGCTTTGCCATGACCGAAACTGCTGCCGCTGTCTTCTTTAATAGCCAATAACATAGGTATCAAAAAGTATGCCAAAAAGCAGAAACCTGCTATCATGATTCCAATATCTTCAGCGTTCTCCTGAGACAATACTGAAAGGCACATCAGATCCATGACATACACTGCCACGCACGTCTCAGCGGGGCATGATGGTTCTCCAGGAACATGTCGCTTTGTTGAAAAATTTTTAATAAATTTTGTTGAAAGTCCAGCTGACCAGATCCATGACAGTAGTTTACGTTCCGGAAGATGTGTAAATAGAAGCTCTGATACACAAGACAGAGCAAAAAAAGCAGGAGGACGACGGGAGAAAGAAGAAATGCATCCGTCTTGCATGAGAGCAAGTTGTGAAAAAAGTTCTAGTTTCTACCTTTAGATGAAAATGAAAACACTGGACTCTGCAGGCCTGTGGTCTTTTACATGAGGCGAAATTAAGTATCCCACTTTGAAGTGATAAAGCAAAAGATCTTGTCGCTCAAACATTTGCAGAAAATTGACAAAAAGCTGCCAAAATTAACCGTTTTTTGTCGTGTGAATAAAAACCAGAACAACTACATTTCCTGTAAGTTTTGCTCAAAGCTTCATAAAGCTGCGGATGAGGGACTAAAAAGAGCCACATGTGGCCCCTGAGCCACAGGTTGCAGACCCCTAGTTTATGGCAACTGTTAAAGTCTGATTTTCTGTTGACAAAATATTTCAGAGGAACATTTAATAAATATTCAATAAAACATGTCATACTGCCTTCATGGATCACATGTAGATAGAGAATTTTACCAATTGCTTTTTCTATGTATGTGAATGTTCCTGTAAAGTGCCCTGAGACAACTTTGTTGTGATATGGTGCTATATAAATAAACTGAATTGAAATGTATTAAATTTGAATAACTGCAAATGGTCCAAGCTGACGAGTATAAAATTGTGACCTTTATCATGAATCAAACAAAACAAACTCTTTTAAAACTTCACTCTGGTGAAGAAACCACGTCAGATTTTAACGTGCGAGTGCGGCTCAGCTTCACACGCTGCCTTCAGCAGCTTCTCTCTGATTCTCACACTCTTCCTACTTGTGAAAACGTGGCGTGACAGTATGATCGAGATTAAGATTATGCTGTTAGCTAATTAGAGCTAACAGCCACTAACCTCAGAGGCCTAGAGAACTTCAGTGACTCCGGGCGACCCAGTTTTCATCTCCAAGTCAGTGTTCTCCTTTAAATCACAGCAGCCGTGCACGTGAAGCTTGCACATTCATCGCAGATTCATGCAGTTAGCCCAACTACGTTTTTGGAGGATCGTGAATGATGTGATCATGTCTGCACCATCTCCTCCTTGTCTTTTCTTCTCCCATGCTCATATTTTTAAAGAAAGTATGTTGTGCAGTTCTGTGTGCGAGCTGCTCTGGAGAAGATGCCTTCTGATTCAAACATTAGTTATAGACTGTGACATCTGAAATCATGGCTAAACACTCTCATATGGCCAGCAGGAGCATGAAGACTCAGCTCAGCTTTGTTTTTCTGCCTTGGTGGAGGTGCAGTAAGATGTCTGTCCCACAGTGAATTATGTTTACATTAGATTTTAGCACTGATTTATAGATATTTGACCCCTGAAAGTCAAAATGCAAGATGTTTTAATGGTTACTAAAACAGATTGTGCAGACAGATGCTGGCAGGCCAGAAGTATGTCAGCTCTTTCAAGTGAGTGCGTGTTAATTTTTGTTTCTCCTCTGGTTCCACAGTGTCTCGGGTTTCCGAGTCTGTCAGCACTGCAGACGAAGTCACGGTGAGTAACCTCCCCAGTTATCCAGACAGCAATCTTTCTGCAGATGTTCCAGCTGTTGTCTGCCCCACAAAGTTGATAAATCTGTCATGTTTAAGGCTGCTGACCTTTGCAGCATGACCAACGGTGTGATAACCTGTAAATGGCTTGAGATGTTATCCAGACTTCATCGGCGCAGGTAGCAGATGAGCTCACCAGGACGGATGAGGCGAAGCTTTGCGGATTATGATGGCTCTTGCTATAATAATCCAAGATTATTCATGGACAAAGTGAACAGTGCACAACACCTCACAGGGTCCAGACTGCAAATACCAACTCAAATCTGTCTTTATTCATGTGGTCTCGTGGTTGGATTTGCTTTTTGATAACAAGCAGAGCTCGGACTGCACTGATGTCATAAATTTGTCATCATTAAATGAATAGTTCAGCACTTTTAGCATCAGGATCTGTGTAAAGATGATGAATAGTTAATATCTTACTTGTTGTGGACAACTCTATTTGGTTTGATTTGAGTAATTCTGACTGGATTAATGAGCTAATGGCTAACCAAAGTTGAATTGCTGCTGTTTTAAAAGAACTCAAATCATGGGAAAAAAAAAAAAAAAAAAAAAAAAAAAAAATATATATATATATATATATACATACAGTTGAATAGAATAAGAATAATGACATAATTTTGTGGTTATTTCCAAGAATAAATAGTGGCAGCAGCAGCTGGCTGTACCCTTCCTGTGCAGCATGGGGCATTTCCTGCAGGAATTTCACAATATTTCTGCCAACAAAACATTTAATAGGAAATTTATGACAATGCAAAACTTCATTGAAAACCATTCACATGAACAGATACGTGAGCCTCAGTGGTTAGCTCTGTTGCCTCACAACAAGAAGGTCCTGGGTTCAAGTCCCAGTTGGACCTGGGGTCTTTCTGTGTGGAGTTTGCATGCTCTTCTTATGTTTGCATGGATTTTCTCTGGATACAATGGTTTTCTCACACAGTTTACAACATGCATGTTAGGCTGCCTCCATGCCTCCCTTTTAAAAGAAATGTGTGATCTCAATGGGATTTGCCTGGTTAAATAAAGATTAATAAAATAATAATAAATAAATATTACAGATTAGAGCTGATTTAATAATCTGGCTAGGATTGAATTGTACTTCTCCAAACTGAGGCCATTATAAAAAACTATCTACAACAGATAAGATATTAATTGATTATAATCCATCCACAAAACAAATTTCAGAAGATTTGAACGATCCCTTTGATTATAGTTCAGAGAACATTGAGCAGTACTTTCCTAACAAAACGCTTTCCTGGTTTGGATCTGGAACATTTTAGAATGTTCTTTTTAAAGGTTTACATTAGAAATAATCTGTGTGACACTAAAACTATTATAGACTTTTGTTGTTTTTCTTTTTTACTGATTCAGATGGAAGTGTTCAAAAGAAAAATGACGATATTCAAACTGATGTTTACTGTTAAAAAAATATAAAATAATTAATAAAAAACATTGAACATTTTGAGCACAATTTATTATTAGCTTTCTAAAACTTAAATTGTTTGAAAATACTTAGACATTATTAAGGTTCAAGGAGACTTTATTGTCATTCACATCACATGTGGTACTTGAGGTGGAATGAAAGTGTGTACTCAAAGTCCCAGTTACATCCCAAAATAGTAACACAGTAGTCCCTCGATTATCGCGGGGGTTACGTTTCAGACACCACCATGATAGATGAAAAACCGTGAAGTAGGAACGCTATATTTACTTTAGTATTTATATATATAAAGGCTTTATAAACCCTTTGCACACTCTTGTAATGTTCTAAACTCTCAAACCTACATAATTTTAACAACCTGTGTATATGTACTGTACAGTACTGCAAAATTTTACTCACCAGCTCTACAAACCAGCAGCTCGGTTCTGGTCTGACTCTGTTCCAGTTCAGCAGACCTGCCCTGCAGCGACGAAGCCCACCGCTCCATCCAGGTTGATGTGCACGTGGAGAATTGAGCTTCAGGATTATTTGTGACATTCCTGCCAATTCTGTGAGCTTCATAGACAGATTGTTACTTCTGACTTTGCGTTGCAAAACTTTCCCTCCATTTCATCAGAAAGCAGCGGCTGGGAGCACTGTTGGCTTCTGGGTAATGTAGTTATTTGACGTTACAGTGTAAGCTCATTGAAAGAAAACTACAAAATGTCGGCGCCTGTCCAAAGTATTATTTTTTGTTAACTTTTTATCAGTACCGTCCCAATCACGTGAATAATATTAAAGTTGACAATCATTGAAAAACCGTGGAAGAGCGAGTCTGCGAAAGTCGAATCGCGACGTAGCGAGGGACTACTGTACAGTATATATAAAGCATCAGTAAAAATAAACAGTATACAAGGATCTAAGATATACGTTAATAATAATATAAATATGGTGTATTAAACAGCCACCTGAACAAGAGTCAGTTGTGAGCAGATGGGTATGAATATAACGGCTTATTTGTATAAAAAACATAAGAAACATTGAAAGCTTAATATCTCAGCGCCTTAGAGAATGTAGAGTGAAATTAAAACTTTTAGAAGTTCGAACTTGGTGTAAATTTCAAACTTTCCTTTATATTTGAGAAAATAAGGTGAAAAAGAATATTGTTCTTTTGTCTTAAAACAATGATGTGACTGTTGAAAATAGGGATGCACGATATTGGATTTTTGGCCGATATGCTGATATGTTAAAACTTATTTTGTCGATAACCAATATTGATATTTTTATATACGTTCCTTTGTCAGAACATAGCCTTCTTATTTAGGCTTATTTGCTACAAAAAGTGTTCAACAGCTGTAAGAGCTGGTGACAGTAACAGCCATATGATATGCATAGCACTTTAACTTATATGAAATTAAAAGTGTTAAATATTATTTATTAGCATTAGTCACCTGTGATGCTGTCTCACCTGTGGAGGCTTGTTCCAGGTTTCTAGCTGCAGTGTGGATCCTCTGCACTCTTGTGCATGAAGGACAGACTTTTTAAGTTCAAAGTTTTTGTCTATCCATTGTGCCGTAAGACTAATCATGCTAACGGGGCTAACACGACGTCCAAATGTCTGTGGTAAAACTCACCCCAGTGATATCAGCTATTAGCTTCTCAATGACTTTGGAAATGACGGCTTGTAACTCGGGTAAGTTTATGTCGGAAAAATATCTCCGACTGGGGACGATGTATCGAGGCTCAATGTAGTCCATAAATCTTCAGAATCTGACATCCTCACCAACGAAAAAAGAAACTTCCACACCGCCGACATTTTGAATTTTCCTCTCTGTTGTGAGATCAGGTAGGCGCACGTGACATCATCACGTTGTGCTGCCGCTGCAGACATCCATGTCACTCATACAAAACAGCGCCCTTTATACCGGTGAGTTATTTTGATGGACTGGCCGATGTCCGATATTGAACTTTAATGCTAATATCGTCCGATACGATACCATAACAATATTATCGTGCATCCCTAGTTGAAAAGCGCACCACGGTTGCTCCACGTCTAAAAAGCAACGCGTGCGTTTGTTTTATCGGGTCAGAATGGGTTAACAGATCTCATTCTCTACTATGAGTCCACCTCTTTAATCCAATATTACTAACAGGATTAGCTCAGTTGTTTCCTGCCAACGTGTGACACACTGAAGATACTCGTGGTTGTAAAACGGAATAAAAGCTCCATCAGATATTCAGCAGCTTTGTTGGTCCACAGAATTAATATCTGCACAACTCTTTTCGAGCCACTTTTAAAGAAACAGCTCATCATTATTATTATTTTACTGTTTAAAAAAGTAATCTGTGTATTTATTGAAATAATAAGTAATTTCTCAAAAGATTTTGTAAATTTTGATGGCTCTTTAATTTTATTTATTTTTTTGTCTCTATTCAAACAGCTTCACTTTCCAAAATCTAACAAAAACTTGCTCCGATGTCCAACTTTAATATTAGTCCTTGTTTAAGAGTTTTAAAATGTAATTAAAGCCTGTGTGTGATGCAGAGCGCGGCTGTTGAAGAACCACCACAGGTCATGACCCTTGATGAGCGTGATGGAGACGACACGCTGTCCGGACCTTCAGAAACCAACGCGGTGGCTGCAGCAGATAATGAAGTTGTTGTTTTGGAGGAGAGCGCAGTTGTGTCTCCTGCAGTTGTGTTTAACACCAACAGACCTGAAGCTGGCAGTAAGTTTAGATTTTTAACTACGGTAAATTAATTTAAAACCAGTTTGAAGAAAAAAAAAGCAAATGATTCCTTTGTGTTAACAGGCATTGAAGAGGAAGGTCTGTTGCAGGCTCCAGAGACAACTTCACCTAAAGAACGTCAACCTGCACCTCCTTCCCATGATTCAAAGAGCTCCATGCTGCCTGAACCACCAGTAGAACATGAGGCATCTGGCTCAGGCCCAGATCATTTGGGCAATATGAACGAACCGTCTACAGCCGCTGCAGAAGAGGAAGAAGTGTCTCTTGAGGAGACTAAGGGTGATGAAGCTGAAGAAACGAGAGCTGGTGCTGCTGCGGTGGGGGAAGAACCTACAGAAGCACCTCTAAAAGAAGAATATCTAGATGAGAATGAGATCCAGGTGGAGCTTGATATATCCACAATTTCATCTGAACCTAAAGAAGAGAGAGGCCCTCCTGTCCTTTCACCAGCGACGGAGGCAGAAGTTCTAAAAAGTGAATCGGAGGCAGATTCATCAGAAATGATTCTGCTTCCTGATGATGTTGATATTGTAGCTGGCGCACCGGATGAGTCGATTGTGGAGGTCAACCTCAAAGAGCCTGAAGAAGCTGCATTTAAAGAAACAGACTTTGAGGAGGCAGCAGAGAGTGAGGGCAGGGTGGTGAAGGATGAGACTTCTGAAGCTGTGCTGATCCAGGAAGAGGCGCCTCTCACGCCGGAGATCCTAACTGATGATCTTGTAGAGGACGAGATTTTACTGGTGAACAAAGATCCTGACCCATTAATGTCAGGTTCTCCAAGCGCTCCCCAACCAACTTCCTTGTCTGCAGAGGTGGAATCACCTTTCACCATTATTTCTGACATTGTCACAGATTCTAAAGGCCAACCTGATGCAGCCATCACTTTACTGGTGGAGGTAAAAGTAAAGATCAGCATCTTAACTAACTTCTTTCTACCCCCCTAACAAATTCTTACAATATAATTTGTTAATTATTAGCAAATGAAAACTGTTTTCACATATGTGGAGGTGCTTTCATGCAACCTTTATTTATACAGGTTAGTCTCATTGAGTCACGAGGACTCATTTTCAAGAGAAACGTGTTTTAGACAGACAACATATAAAGTACAGACAACAATAATTCAACAAGAAGCAATTAAAGCATAAAATAAAAGTAGTTATAAAAACTATCAAATCAAGGTACCATATAAAACAAGGTAAAATATTTAAAACAACCATATTTGCTTTGATTTTCTATTGACCTTATCAAATGTTTAAACTCTTAAAGAAACCAATCTGGACAGCCTCAGATCTTGTTGCAAGGTGTTCCAGGTTACAGGAGAGTAGGAAAAGGCCTTTTTGCCGAGTTCAGTCCGCACTCAGGGGACGCTGCAGGTAACGAATCTCTGAGAGCGCACGCCGTAACTGCACTGATGATATGACATATGGGAGGAGATATGTGAATCAGAATCAGCTTTATTGTCATTGCACAGCTAAACACAGCGGAAATACATTTCAGTGCTGCCATCCAACAAGGGTAGATGGAAGTGCACGGAGGCTGCAGCTTCGTCGTGAAGCGCTGCCCTTATCGCTTAGCTAAGAAAAGGGAAGAAAAACAGGAGGAGAGAAGGAATAAAAAAGATCTCTCACACTGTGTTCTTGACACAAGGCAGTGTAAGGTAGCAAAAAAACCTACCTCAGCACAGTAACATAGATAAACATAAAACATTTTGCAGGGGTGCGGGGAAGCCAATGAAGGTGATGAGATTGTCCGTGAACACAACCAGAAAGTTCTGGTCCTGATAAAGATGGTCCAGTGTCTATCAGCCAGCACAGCTCTGATAAGTGTCCACAGATGTTCTCAGGGGGTGGGGCGGCTGTGGCTGAGTGGTTAGAGCAGTCGTCCTCCAATGCGAGAGTTGGGGGTTCGAATCCACCAGCAGTCAAATGTCGAAGTGTCCCTGGGCAAGACACTGAACTCCATATAGCTTCTGATGTGTGTCCCATCAGTGTATGAATGTGATAAAGCACTGATTAGTCTCTTTAGAATGATTTGTTCAATTAGCTTTGTAGAAATCTAGTAGACTGTTGTATGAATGGGTAAATGAGGCACAGATTGTAGTGTAAAGCACTTTGAGTATCTTGAAAAAAGATAGAAAAGCGCTATATAAGTACAGTCCATTTACCATTTACCATAGTTTAAGATAGGTACAATCAATGGCGAATCCAAACAGGCAGATTTGTGGTCATTCCGCTGGTCCGTGCTTGTAACCTTCTCCAAGGTCGATTCCCTCATGCCAGTGAGTTTTAGGAGCCACAAGTGGCCTGCGATTCTCAGAAATCTCATCCAACTTACGGTTTAGCTCACAAAGCATCTGAGTCTGAGCGCTCTAAGCACGGTGCAATCCTTCACATAAGGTAGGCAGCCTCACCATTGCCCAAACTGCTGTTGACGTCTTCCTAATTTGTCATTATCCCAGAGATACCCACCGATTCCAAATAGCAGAAACCCTGTTATCATAAATCCAAATATGTACACGTCTTCAATGTCCTCAACGGGCAAAACAGACAGGCACATCATCTTCAGTTCACCCCAGGAATCCATGATATATCCAGCTGAATGTGTCCCTTTAGGGCATCCTGGACCCTGTCTTCTCATCAAGAAAATGTTTCAGTTGCGTTGAGAGACCAGCTGACCAGATCCATAATAATTTATGATTTGAAAGATGTGTAGAGAGAGGCTCTGAGACTTAGAGATGAAAATCTCTAATCTACCAGTGAGAGAGCCTGCATGAAGTAAATGATGACCAACTGACCAAGGAGTACAGGATGCAGTGATGGGTATGGTAGTTACAGCCAGTTATGAATCTTAGTGCACCATGATAGACAGCATCCAACATCTGCAAGGTGCTGGCAGGAGCATTCATGTAAATAAAGTCGCCATAATCAATGACCAGTAGGAAAGTTGGCTCAATAGTAGGGTTGACAGAATATGTTGTTCCACAACCTGTACTTAACATTCAGTAATAACGGTGCCGTTAAACATTCAACCGTTTCATGTTCTGTGCACATGAGTGCACTTCATTACCACTGTACTAGACTTTATTTCTAACACTAATAGGAAAATGTATACAGTTTACTGTACTGTGTACTAGTCCATCTCATTTAATTCAGCGGGCACTCGTTTCATAATATCTAAAAAGTTTATGATTTTCAAATAAACAACAGAGCAGTTTTGTTGCAGTTCAGTTTACAGCAGGTGAACTTGGCCTGGCCAAAATAAATGTTTATTATGGAGGGTTTACATATTTATATACAGTACTGTAAATTTTTCCTGCGAGGTTGCTCACTGTGGTGATCCCTGCATAAGACAGCAGCTGAATTAAAACAACCTGTTTTTATAGAATCTGTAGGTGAATTTGCAATTTCAGACATTTTTAAGCATGCAGCAATAATTTTGGCGTTTTATTTTTTTTTATCTTTAAGAGAAATCATATATTTGAACGTGAGTTTCTGTGGAAAGGTTAATGGGTAATAATGAGGTGAAAAGCTAATATCTTTTTTCTTTGCACCACTTGAGTTGAAATCTATTTGTTTTGACTGGAATGACGAGCTAATGGCTAGTCCGAGTGGGACGAAGATCAAAGTGGATTGCTTGTGTCTAAAAACAGCTCTAATTTCACACGAATGCTGTTTAATAAACCTTTACGCTGTTGTCGGGTTTGCAGATTTAAAGATTACATGAAATGTTTTTCTTCAGAGCAGCTACTGTGCAGCCTGGGCCACTTACTGCAGAGATGGTTCTGACAGAACAACATGTAATGTGAGATTTATGGCCATTTATAAATGAGATTTCACATAAATATCTATAAAATATTTGAACTAGCTGTTAGTTTGACAGTTCAGTCAGATTAAATGTTTTTATTTTTCTCCTAAGTGAGGTAATTCAAAGAACTAAGCAATATATTAATTGCTCATAACTTCCCCACAAAATCTGAACAATCTCTTTAAATCAACCACTAAAAACATTAACTTCTAACCTAAATATGTTTTAGCTCTTCACCAATATAATTATAATCATGGTAGCAGAGTTAAAAGTGTTTTTTTTTTAAGGTTATCCTTTTTATTTTTTAGATACCAACTCTTCAAGAGGACTTTGATGATGGCACTCCTGGAGACCAGGATTATGGTGTCGTTTCTTTTGACTATGGTTTGATTAACCACACAGAGGAAGGCAGCACTGGATCTCCTTTTAGTGTGGTGGATGACAAAGACCAAGCCAGTCTTGCCATGCCTGTAAGCCCCAGACGAGCTCTGATGGTGTTCTTCAGCCTGAGAGTGACCAACATGGTCTTCTCAGAAGATCTCTTTAACAAGAGTTCCCCAGAATATAAAGCTTTGGAGCAACGCTTTCTGGAGCTGGTAAAACCCTAAAGTTTACAGCTGCTTTTTACACTAGTTGTTGTTATTATTCACACTAAGGTTTGGTATATTCTTTTTTAAATATATTTTTCCCAGCTTGTGCCATACCTTCAGTCTAACCTGAGTTACTTTGAGAACCTGGAGATCTTGAACTTCAGGAATGGGAGCATCGTGGTCAACAGTCGGATGAGGTTTGGGAAGCCTGTGGCTCGTGGCGTCACCACCACCGTTTATCTAATCCTGGAGGACTTCTGTAACACAGCTTACCAAACCATGAACCTAGCCATTGATAAATACTCGCTGGATGTGGAATCAGGTGAAGTTTCACTCACTCTTTGGTTTAATATAACTGAAGTCACAATCCTGTGCAGCACCAAACTCCTGTTAATCAGACTTTAATCAAACTTTGGCTATTTTAGTTCACCGTTTGTTTTCTGTATGGTTTTCTAAATAACTTGTTACTAATTAGGCAAAATTTAGTTTATCTTAGTGAAACTAGGCATTATTGAGTGGTAAT